TCCATTATATGCTGAAATCAGTCAGTAATGATGTTCACTACATTTTGGCTGATCAGTGACAATTTTAATAATCAATTTAATCATTTTCAGGTGTATAATCAAACAAAACACATTTTCTCTCTTTCTTNNATTTATATATATCTTTGTGTTCTGAAAAACATAATTGAAGAAAAGAAAATATTAACTCTCAGAACTTCTGTTTTTCAACTTTTTGATATTTTGAAAAGCACTAAACAATTATATTGATTAATCAAAAAAAACTATAGCTCAACAGATGATAAAATAACTTAGTTGCAGCCCTACATTGCATCTTGTTCAGTTTTAAATTAAAGCTGAAATTATTGGTCTATTAAGTTAGTTAACAGGGAGAACATTTGTTGGCAGGTATTTTGATAATTTATTGAAGTATAAATGCGAAACATTATTTGGTTTCCAATGTGAGAATTTTATGCTTTTCCTGTTTCATTTTTTTTTTTAAATCGAATTTTAAATTAAATAATTTACAGTTTGAACGGTTAAACATTTTTCCCGTTTTTACTCCCCGTCTCAACACGAGTAGATAATAACAGAAGATTAACATACTTGTCAATTACAGCCCTACGCTGAATGTGCAATGCGACTGTCACACGTCTGATGTTTTTTAACAGAGGCACCGGTGAGTGCAAATAACAAGGGGTTAATGTGGGTCAGTCAATTTCAGTAACTGATGTCAACCTCCAGACATGCAGAGCGCCACCTGAGAGAACAAGCAGGGCAACCACTTTCATGAAGCACCAAAACAAACCCACTCACTGTCCAAAAGATTTGTACAGTTCACTTTTGCCAGCAGCTGACTTGGCCCCGTCTGCAGATCCTAAATTAGCGGTATTATTCACTATCAGACATCACAGAGGCTTTTATAATATCAACAACAGTGACCACACTGAAGGAGATAGACTTGTTTCTTGTGTGCTTGTCAAAAATGCTTTCAAGGTCGAGACCCTGAGGACCTTTGAGCGTGGGGCCACCCCAAGCCATCTTTGATCTCGCAGAGCAAGGAGGACGCTGGGGAGGCTGTTTGGGGGAGTTTGTCATTCTTTTCCTTAAAACATGCAAATCTCTTAATACAGGCCCAGTTTCCTTATTATCATTATAAACCCTGCAGCTAGCACCATTCAAGAAGAGCAGAGGTCTTCTCTCAGTTTGGTCTCTGTGTCAATTAGTTCTGCTCAGCTTGAGTTTGGTCTTGTCAGCATCTCCGCTACTTATCTTCCATTTGGACAGAGTAAAATCACTCGACAACAATAAATCAATGGGGGCTTTTTGGGAGGCAAGTGCTGGGTCGGCAGTTAGACTTTGGTCTGTTTACGACTGGCAACATCTTTTTTTTGGTTTTTTTTTTAAGTCTTGAAGCTGAATGAGTGTATCACCTCCTTATCCTTATTACTCTGGTTCCTCTGGCACGCTGGTCAGGGCCTGTCTGATTTCTTGTCATGCGGTATGGGCAAAGTACAGCAGGATCACATGAAAGCCGGTGGAATAATGCTGCAGAAATGCCTGGCTCTTTATCTCACTCCAGGGAGGGAGGGAGGGAGGGGGAAGCCACACAATGCGATGCTCAACCCTCGAACGGACTACAACAACAAACCAACACAACTCCAGGCCCCTGTGTGAAAGAGATGAATACACCCTGTCAGGGCGATGCCAACTTGGAAACGGGAGGTGAAGAAAAAGATTTGCTCAGCTTGCCAGCGAACGGCGAGCTTCAACAGCGTGGGGTGTCGAAAAGGCAGAAAGAATCCACATCGCTTGCGAGAAATGACTCATATGGTTCACAACAGTTCCTTGTCTGCTGTCTGCAACCAATGCACACACTCTGTATGAAGAGTGCAAGTATTTTTGTTTCTACCAACATCAAAATGCACACCACACACTTCTCCGTACCCTAAACGCTGGGATTTCTTCCTAAAATTAAGAGCCTCGGTACTTGTCATTAACCACAATTCGTCCCTAAATTCATTTTGTGGTGAGTTTTTCCAAGTTTCTTTTTATGGCAGTGATGAAACAGCAGCTTATTCAGGCTTTTTTGCATTGAGATCATATTAGACCCCAGAAAATGCCAAACGGGAATGCAGTGGTGCGCTGGTTGGTAATTAAAATTCCACGTCCATGACGAGGGTAGTATTTAGTTTCTTATGAAAGAAAGTTTTTGCTGAGGGCCCAGAAGAGAACCATCTAAAGAAGAACAAATAAATTGCTTTTGAAAATGGTGATCTTTCCACACCGACTATT